ACATCTGAAACAAAAATAAATTAATTAAATTTAAAAAAAATACTTTTAGCAGATAAGGTGTTTTATGGGCAATCTATGAAGAGAGGCAAATGGGTATCTAGTCATGCTTTAATTGTCTTTCATATTTTATGCCTCAAATTACAAGATTTTTAGTGCCTTGGGCATCATTGAGGAAAAAAAAAACTATAAATGCATAATAAATTAATGGCTGCATGGCCCTGGACAAGTCACCTACCTGCTTTGAACTTTAGTTTCATCATTTGTAAGCAGATGTATTTCACATCAATGCTATAAAGTATACATAAGATAATTTTTAAGTACTTAGAGAATATAGAGTACTACATAAATTTTCAATGATAACCTAAATAGGTCGCTATTCTATTACCATCGAGATCCCTGGAGAATTCTCAAAATAAAGCATAAGACTCAGAGGCTGTAACATTGCAAACTAAAAAGGCCAATATTTATATAAAGATACATATTTCAATAAAAACCGAACCCTATGTATGTACTGATGATGAATGATCACAAGCCATACTTGAACAAGTTTCTTACCAAATAAATCACATTTGGAGTTCTATTAAAAACAGGCTGCCTCACCTCCCTTCAATAAGGCTATGTCCACAAAATGCCTAATTCCTAAACTCACAGGTAGAAAATGGCAGACATGGAATTCTCTGGCAAAGTCCTCTGCTTATGTCAACTACTTCTAGTCCTTTAGTGTATGAATCAACAGCTTCAGGGGAAAAGTGCACTTCAAACTCTTTCATTTGATTTATATATTTTTAAGATAAGTATGTTGTGGAGCTGCATTTTGGAGTCTTTATTTCACAGTTATTACCACATCTTTCCTTTGTTACAAAATCAACTTTGACCAATTCCCAGTCATTTCCTATTCAAAGCAACCTATTTTAACACATTCATCAAGCGAAATGTAAGCCAGTCTTCAATCACATCTGCCTAACAGACCCTATTTCATAAACTGATCTTTTAAGTTTCTAAGACCTTAGCTCAAAAATTCCATGTGTATTTTCTTGACATTAAGAAACCAGAAAGACTTGAGAAAACTTAGTGAAACATTAACAATAATAACGCTTTAACATTGATTAATCACTTTATTGTCTGACACTGTTCTAAGCACTTTATAGATTTAAGCCACACAACAATCGTATGAGGAAGAACGGTAACATTATTTCCACAAAAAGCAAGTTTTTAAAAAATTCTTCCCTTATTTTAAGAAATGTATCCTCTTCAACAATCTAAATGTATACATTTAAAATATAGTTTCTTGCCCGGCCGGTGTGGCTCAGTGGTTGAGCACTGACCCATGCACCAAGAGGTCACTGGTTCAATTCCCAGTCAGGACACATGCCCAGGTTGTGGGCCCCATCCCCAGTGGGTGACCTGCAGGAGGCGGCCAATCAATGTTCTTGCTCATCAATGTTTCTATCTCCCTCTCTCCCTTTCCCTTCCCCTCTCTCTAAAAACCAATAAAGAAAAAAAATATGCCCTGGCTGGTTTAGCTCAGCAGTTAGAGTGTCAGCCCGTGGACCAGAGAGTCCCGGGTTCAGTTCCCGTAAGGGCACGTACCTTGGATGCGATTTGTCCCCAGCCCTGGTTGGGGTCGTGTGGGTGGCAACCACTCGATGTGTCTCTCTCACAACGATGTTTCTCTCTCTCTATTCCTCCCTCTCTATCTGAAGATAAATGCAAAAATGTCCTCAAGTAAGGATAAAAAATAAAAAAAACTTTAAAAAAAGAAAGAAAAAAAAAAAAAAAAAATATATATATATATATATAGTTTCCCTCCATTACTCTATATCATGATGAAAAAGCTAAATAGATTTTCACCAAATTTAGAAGGTATATTTGGGGCACTCTCAAGCTACAGGCGACATGATATAATTGAAATACTGTATGAGGTGCGGTCACCTTGAAGCGCTAGGAAGCTGTTCCCCGGAGCAGCTGCAGGCCACCGATTTGCAATGGAAGCCCTTGCTCTTGTTCAACTCTTTGTACCATGTTCCAGGCTGAGTGCCAGCAAGGATCTACTTAACAATGGTTAGTAATTTTTCAGAGGACCTCTAGAAAAGCCAACTAGCATACTATAGCTTTAAAAAACAAAAACCTTAGCCCAGCCAGTGTGGCTCAGTGGTTGAGCATCAACCCATGCACCAAGAGGTCACCGGTTCGATTCCCAGTCAGGTTGTGGGCCCAATTCCCAGTGGAATTTTTTTTTTTAAAACTTTCGATGTGGAAAGAAGGTTGTATGCATCCCATTCCTAAGGAGCAACAATATATACTGTTTGAAAATGAACAAATAGATTGCAGAGCTACCCTCCAGACCTAGTCAACGGCTCTGCAGGGATGACACCCAAGGGAGTGAAATGGACAGCCAGTCCCCTCTTTGTTGGCTTGGGCAAGCAACTTCATCAAAACCCTATGAGAAAATAGCTAATGGAGGTATTAATGTCCTTATAACTTGCTGAGTTCCTTCCAGAGAATTAAGCTATCTGTACCCCAGATGGGACAGGAAGGAGTTCTTGAAGGATAAAACTAATGTTCTTGATCTCTACAGTCCCAGAGACCCAGCATGGACCAGCACATAAATCAGACCTTATACACAATTGTTGAAAGTTATTTTAAGAGTACACACTAAAGCCAATAACTGCTGGAACTATACTGCCACATTCTAATGAAAGGGTTTAGTTCTAATGAATAATGAAAATCTTTGGCTGAGCTTTTTAAGGGCAGATTGATCATTAGACTCTCTTCTTCAGCTTTCTGTCATCGCAAAATTCTGTGCTTTAAATAAAACTCTTAGGCTACTGAGACTAAAAACTCTTCCAAGCGAGTAAATTCATATTTCACTCTAGTTTCCAAATATACTATATCATAATCAAGCCTACTATAAAAAAAGGGATAGAATCCTTGCTTCATTCCATTATTGATTAATTCTTATAGGTTTTACTATAATGGATATCTGTTAGGAACATAAAGAGAAACATTTTGAATTGATTACACCTTTCCCTTTCCAAAGGAGATTTGAGTCTGATAAATACAAAGAACATATACATTTTTCTTATTTTTTTCCTAAACTTACTGTGGTAGTCATTTCACCATATATTTAAGTCAAAGCATTATGCTGTACACCTTAAACTTATACTTATGTTGAATGTCAATTACATCTCAATAAAACTGGAAAGACTAAAAATAAAAAATAAGGCATTAGCAAAGATTCTTGTAAATGTAAATGCTGTCAGACAAAATCAGCTACTGAGCTGCAAAAAGCAGTGTGTAATGAAAAGAGTCACGACACTTCAGTTCCAAGTGTTAGCCCTGCGGAAGACTGACCTACTCAGCTGTAACGGCAGCCAACCTGCAGAAACCAAATTTTCTCCAGCACATAGGTCCAAATAGTGCTTTGCAAAGAAGGAAGAGGAAACGGCACTGGACAAGTTCTCACTGCAGCAGAGATCTTTACTTCTCAATCAGCAAAATTTTAGAGAAAAACACTCTAGAAGCTAGCTATAAATATAATGTAAAGAAATCTGTCCTGAGCACGAAGATGCACACTGCATGTTTACCCATGTATGCAAACTGTAAGTTTACTGCCTTACTGAAAAATTCCACTCAGGCTTCCATTTTATCCCTTCATTTCAAAGCCGAATGTAGCTTTTAGCATACTTGTTGACCACAAAACTGAGCTGATGCAATTAACACACAACTTACAAGAAAAAAATGGCTATCTAGATGAAATGTATATAATTTTCTATTTCCGTGATGAAATTACAGAGACCTACTATTTGCCAAAAAATCAAATTCACGATCCAATTTCAAAATTCCAATCTAGAAAGAATTATAAAAATCTTTTAATTTGCTGCTTCTTATTTTAAAGATAGAAAATTTATTTTTAACCCCTTTTCTCATAGTTTGGAATATGAGATTTCCAAAGGAAAATACTGGAGCTTACAGAATTAATGACAGTCAGACTAGTCATTAATGTTAAAAAAAAAAATCTTTCTTCTCAAAGTAGTTTTCCTTTTCTATACAAAAGCAGCTGGCATATTTTATTAAATAATTTCATATTATAAAGAAAATCAATGTCAACAATTATTAGAAATAAACCAAAAAGTTAATACATACCTGTAAAATCTAAATATTAAAGTGATACCAGCAGTTATTTACATGGCTGCACAATATTTCCCCATAAAGTTCATTATTTAACATTTCTCTCTCAAAAAGCAATCCCCTTATATGCATATACATTGCTTTACATAATGACATTTCGGTAAAGAGCAAAATCATGTTCAAATGGTAAACATACCAACAAACAAAACAACTTTCAAATGGTAATTTTTTTAAATACAAATTTTCAAATAAATACTTTTAGCACACCAACAAACAAGAAAAAACTGAGAGACAAGATCAACCCTAGGGGCTGACTTGGGAAAAAAATCAGACTATGAACTGAGTGCCTTGTCAAAATCCCTCTCAGATATTACTATCCCAAGTTAGAATCTTAAAATAAAATTAATAATCTGCCACTATACATAATAAATATATAAATATTCATTTTCTACAATCCGCTCTATATATTTTTTCTATATCATAAAGAGCTTGCCTTTAGCCCAGACGGTGTGGTTCAGCAGATTGAGCATTATCCCATGGACTAAGAGGTCCCAGGTTGATTCCTAGTCAGGGCACACACCCAGGTTGCGGGCTCAATTCCCAGTAGGGGGCGTGCAGGAGGCATCCGATCAATGTTTCTCTCTCACATCGATGTGTGTCTCTCTCTCTCTAACCTTCCCCTCTCTCTAAAAAATCAGTAAGAACTTATTTTTTTTTAAAAACTTGCCTTTAGATAATGGTGATATATAATTGTCAAGCAATCTGTTATTATTTTCTTTACTAAGCTACTTATTTATTCTACTAAAATTAGTATGTGTTGCAATTATAATCATAGGAAGTCCAAAGGATAATTCAAGAACAAAATTCACCTTTGTTCCAGTTTTTGCTTTCAGACCTCCATTCTCCACAACAGCAAGTTCCAGTTTGTCATCATCCTTACTTCCTATAGATTTTAGTCCTTGCAAAAGAATATCTTGTAAATTTCGATAAAGAGGTTTCTCGTCATAGTCCAATAATTTCACTGTTTCCATGTATTTAGCAATTTCATCTAAAAAATAACACAATTATTCTGTAATTTTAAAATCATAAATACAACATATTTATCCTTTATTTCTAAAAAATAATTTGATTATAGTAAAATTAGAATAAAAATATGTATCTAGTTAAACAATTGTTTTTTCAATCACTTCTTCAATGAAAAGGGTGCTTTTGAACTCAGGAATTGTCAGATAATAGTCAAAATAAAAAATATATTTGAGATACTACATAAAAAACATTTTTGCAATTGTGAGACAGTGAGATAAAAGACATCTTCAGGCTGCTGACTCAAGGGTATGTATCCCATCCTAGCCCTTTCCCCGACACACAGACCTGTATATATACTGCCTCACCATGTGGCTCTTGGAGGTGTAACTGTCATCTCAAATCCCAACACATCTAAATCTAAACTGCTGACCTGTCCCTAACACCTGCTTCTTGTGGTTTTCCCTGTCTGGGTTACTGAGAACTCCATCCTCCAGCTCCTCAAACCAAGGCTCTTCTTCCCACACCCCACACCCAGTCAATCAAGAGACCCTGTCAGTGTCACACACGCGCACGCGCACGCTCATTCACTCACTCAAATATGCGGTAAGCACCCATTATGTACCAGACAAGATTCTAGATACTTGAGATGCATGAGGGAAAAAGAGACAAAAACACCCTCCTTTCAGTGGTCAAGGGGATCTACAGAAAACCTACAGCAACATCACCAAGCATGGCAAATATGGAAAACGTCCATTCTGAGAGAGGAAAATGGCAAGGCTGTCCACTTCTACCACTTTTGTTCAGCACAATAGTCATGTGTGCTTTTAGCCAATATAGTAAGGCAAGAAAAGAAATAAAAGGTACAGAGTTGAGTGAAAAATACAAAACAGTTAATTCACAAACATGATAGTATATATAGAATATCCAAAGGAATCTACTAAAAAAAAAAAAAAAAAAAAAAAAAACTATCAGAATAGGTAAACATAACCAGGTCACAGAAGCAAGGTAAGTATATAAAAATATATTCTATTTCTGTATACTAGCAACAAGCAATTGGAAAAGATTTTAAAATATACATCCCATAATATAGCATCAAAAGCATCAAATACAATGAAAGATGAGCAAGATTTTTTGCAGAGAAAACTAAAACAGTTGAGAAAAACTGAGACTAAATCAAATGGAGGATATAGCATATTAGTGGACTGGCAGGCTCAATGGTGTAACGATGTTAGTGCTCCCCAATTAGTCCAGAAGCAGTGCAATCGCACTCAAAGTTCCAGCACACTGGGGATGGAGGGGATGTGCGTGCAAGCCACGAGGTGATTCTTAAATTTACACAGATCTGCAAAGGACCAAGAACAGCAAAATAGCAAGATTAAGTTTAAAGAACAGTGCTGGAGGACTTAAACTACCAGATTCCAAGACTTAAGATAAAGCTACAATAATGAAGAGAGTATGGCCCAAGAATAGACAAAAAGAACAAGGAGGAGAGTCCGGAAACAGATCCACAGTTGATTTAAAACAAAGGTGACACAGAGGGCAGAGGCTGGTCTTGTAAAGAAACGCTGCTGGGTAACTGGATATAAATAGGCGTCAGGGAAGAAATATAACCCCTCCTTATATCATACACAATAATTATTTGCAGGTACACTATACATCTGTATCTATAACTGGCAATCTACAATGGCCAAAAATTGGAAACACCCCAACAGTAGAATAGATAGATAATAGTATATAAATATAATGGAATACTATTCAGAAATGAGAAAAAACTACTGTTAAATATGCAAATATGAGCTTCTGGGGATCTAATGTACAGCATGTGACTACAGTTAACGTGAGGAAATGGAGGTGTTAATTGTCTTGATTTTGGTAATCATCCTACAATATATGGGTGTATCAAATGATCATGTTGTACACTTTAAATATATACAATAATGTTATCAATTATTCCTCAGTGAAATTAAAAATAAATAAAAACATCCAAAACACCCATGCAACAATGGGAATGAACTTCACAAGACAATAGTGAATGAGAGATAAGGACTATAAAACAAAACTAGAATGTTAATTTCATAAGGGTGGGGATTTTTATCTGTTTTGTTTACGCTATGATTCCATTTTCATAAACCTCGAAAACAAATCTGTGGTGTTGGAAGTTAGGCTAATGACTCATTAGACCAGAGGGACAGGCTGGGACCAGGAGAAATTCTGAGAAGCCTACAGTTTTCCATTTCTTGATGTGGTTGGTAGGTTGCAACGGTAAACCGCATAAGGTCAGGGTAGACCTCCCTGAAAAAGAGACCACTAGGCAAAGGCTTGAGAAGACTTCTAACTGCTTCCAAACTGACCACTTCTCAATACCTCCACCTCTGCCTCCGTTACTTGGATGATCGCATTAGCGTCCTAACCTGCCTTGCTCCCTTAGCAGTCTATCCTCAAAAGAAAAGCTAGAGAGATGTCCCTTAAAGATAGGCAGTTCATGTCACTTTTCTACTCCAAATCTTACACTCTTGCTTAAAGTAAAAGCCAAAGCCCTTATAAGAGCCTAACAGGGGTGGGGAACCTTTTTTTCTGACAGAGGCCATGTGGATATTTATAACATCATTATCAGACCATATAAAATTATCAACTTAAAAACTTAGCCTGCTATATTTGGTCAGGCTAATTTGGTGAGGCGTGTGATGTTATCTGGGACTGATTTCGAGGACCTTATTCAGCCCACGGGCCAAACATTCCCCACCCCTGGAAACGGATGCACTCCTCAAATACGCCAGGCACTTTCTGTTCCTTCTGCCTCGATCTCTCTTCCCCACACTTCCAGAGCTTACTCCCTATCTCCTTCCTACAACTGCTCAAATGGCACCTCTTTAGTGAGGCCACCGCTGCCCACCCTACTTCAAACCCTGGTCCTCCTCCCTACTTCACTCTAGAATTCTAGTCTGTGCTGCCTTCTGTTTTCCACAGTACTAACCACACAATACACTGTAGAATTCACTCATATGTTCGCTATCTCTCTTCCAACCAGAGCATTAGCTTCATGAGGACAGGAATTTTTACATTTTGTTCACTGGTGTAGCCCTGGTGCCTAGAATAATCCCTGGCACAAATAAAGCTTCAATAAAAAAATAGCTTTATGAATGAATGAAATTTGGTTCCCTTCCTGAAAGCAATAAATAACTGAATGAAGCTCAAGTGTTCCTATAGCCCACTCCTGAAAAGGAAAGTGCTTTGTTTATGAGAGCAGGCCCCAGTACAATGATTACACCTAAACTCTTACATTAACGATTATTCCATGGGCATCATGACTTTGTTTTCTCTCAGAAAACAAAATCCCTATGAATATATAAGAAGTCTTTTCCTACCTGGCTTGTTTTTCTCAGGAAAACATTTGTCCATCAAACTTGCAATATTTTCTCTGTATCTGTTAAAAATTAAAGAATGAGTCACTGTTTGACGCTTGATGCCATAGAAAGGTATTAATATTTAATAACAGTAAATAGCACATTAAGCAGCACTGTGCTACATTCTAAATATGCTTGCAGACATCCTTCTAAAATAAATTGAACAAAAGACCAAGAAATCTTACTGTTTAATACACTCTTTCTTATTTCTACAATAGTATCAGTTAATGTTACAGTTCCAGGAAAGAAATTCTGACTGGAAAACATTTGCCTTATTGTGAGCTTCCCAAAATAATTTTAAAATCTCCTTTACCTAATTTTGGAATCTCTAACATAGTTAGGATCTTTCAAATTATCCTCCCATGGAAGATGGCCACTGAGCCACTGGATCATGCAATAACCAAGTATTTCCAAGTCACCACGTCTTGATGGGGCTATGAACACAAAAGAAGCAGATTAAGCACACTGAAATAATTGTAAGGTGTAATTTCAAGTATATATAAAATAATAAAGTAAAACAGTCAACTCTATAGTCTTGTTTCTCATCACAAAATCTTGACTGCACTAAATGAAAGTATTGAATTTCGGGTAGTATAAAAGAAATAATTTACCTCCAACTAATAATTTATTTTAAAACCCAAAGTGGCAAACTCGAGTTTCAAACTAAGACTATTAATCTAGGAAATAAAATATATAACAATAACACATTTAATAGTGCCCTTGGAAAACTTAAAGACATTAAACATGCTATGAGCTCTTAAAAGGCCTGGAGAACTAAAGGTTTTAGCCACCCCACCCTACCCCCACCACACACACTGTTGGGCACAGAAAAAAGAAATGACATCAAAGAAACAGACCAACTTAACAGGTGACAAAATACAAGTTTACCTGTTATAAAGTAGTAGCTTCATGAGAAATTTAAGACTTTTAGGGGGGAAACCACCACCATTCCAACTAAGTCAAATGCAACCAAACAGAAATCCTCGCTACCGCTGAATGACCCACCTTCGCTGCGGAACCTTGTTGTCTGGACGCTCGGGAGGACGCAGAGAACACAAGGGCCCTGTTCCACACATGGAGTCTAGCCTCCTCCCTTTCCCCATCCCACCTTGCCTCTTCAAACTTCTCTACTTAGTTATTTATGCGAACTAAGAACCGTGGAGGAATTCAGTTGAAACATTAGCTGTGTATTTCTTGTTCAAGTGCCGCTGACATACCCACGCCATTGTGTGCATCGATGCTGGTGAATTCAAGAGTGCCATCGTGACACCTTTTGGGGTCTTCTTTATATTCTTTATGAATTCCTTCTGGGCAGTACCGATAAGCAAGACCATAATCGACCAGGTACACCTATAAATTTCCAAGTACCAAGACAAATTAAAGCCAGAATAGCTGCACATAGACTCCTTTAAAGTCCCGAAACAAAACACTGCCATTGAAGAGTGAATTCAATACAAAACCAAACTATAGCAAGCCAAACAAGTTAGATCCTATTGGCAAACAAGGACGAAGACTTCATTCTGACAGATTTCTCATGTAAAGGAACTGTTAGATGGCCATGTAGCTACAGTTCAGATAGTATCACCTGATTTTATATACTTTTTGGATAAATGTGATTTACTTGTAATTAATCTTGTGTCTTCAATTTGAGCAAGGACTGTAAACCTCATATTTTTCCTTACAGTCTGAAGAAAAGCTGAGCACAAAGTAAACCATCCGTACTTTTTGTGATACAACTGCCAAACTCACGTGTAATCCTGCTAACTTAGTTGACACATGACACATTAGTTGTCTTCATGCCTCTACTTCCTCACTTGTAAAATAATCAAATATCAATTCACTTCATAAAAGTATTTCAGAGTATAAAAATTATTTAAAGAACTTTTAGATAAAGCTCTTATCTACATTTAAATTTTATATATTAAAGTCTTCAAAATTAAAACTAAATGTTAATGTTATATACACACATGTCTGTGGACATGCACATGTGGGTCTGATTAGCATACAAATCTAGTAACTTTGGCTTTCTTCTATGTCACAGCATCATATTACATTTCTAGTTCTGGGAACTGTCTCACAAATGTATGCAGTTGGTCAGAAGAGGGAACTGAAGTAAAAATATGGGAATGGATCTAGCACATACATTGAATACTGGAAAAATAATCCCATCCAAAGCATATGCTCAAAGAATAACAGAGCTGCAAAAATATTTCCATAGAAACGAAAGGCAGCATGTTTTAGTCAACTGCAAACTGAAATAGGTTGTACTATTATGTATTATATTATTACATAAGTCCAGTTTACTTCAATTAATGGAATTCTCACCATTCAGGTTCTTAGCTATGTTTTGTTTGTTGTTGTTGTTTATTTTTCTTTTTTTAGAGAGAGAGGAAGGGAGAGATAGAAACATCAATGTGAGAGAAACATCAATCAGCTGCCTCCTGCACGCCCCCTACTGAGATCAAAAGCTGGGCATGTGCTCTGACCAGGAATCAAACCAGAACCTCTCAGTTCATGGGACGATGTTCAATCCACTGAGCCACACTGGCCCGGCTGTTTTGTTTTTAATCTAAAACAAGAAGGCTGGAAATTCTGTGACTGCCTTTAAGATTTCTCCACCAGTATGCTTTATAGTACAGAAACTTTCTTCTATATATATATACATATATGCATATAGGTCTCTATGGCCACCATAACAAAGATGGGGGAAGAGACGCAAATATGAGTGATAGAAAAAGAAAGAGGAGTCAAAGGAAAAACTAAGCAAGAAGTAAAAGACAGGTTTGAGGAAAATAAAATGAAGTATGGATTATTGACACAGACCTATTTAAAATCTTTAAACAATCTGATACAAGATCAAGAAAGAAGTGAGACCACACCGAATGGAAAAAGTACAGTGGCCCAACAATAAAATGCCAACTAAACCTTACTTACCAAAATCACAGAAACAGCTACAAGAAAACTGTACAGATCCCTCTACTCCAACTAAACTAACTCAAATAAAGGTAAAATAACATTAGCTTTTCTCCTTTCTTTAAAACGTAAGAATTACAAAGGGAATGTAATAAACTAAAAAAAAAAAAAAATGCAAATTTAAATTTCAAACACTAAGGGCATACAAATTTAGACAGCTAAGATATTTCTGTAAAACAACTGATTCGAATAATCAACATGTTAAAGACCAAATTTTCCAAGTAATAGAACACTTACATTTGATGGATTTCTTGAACAAAGGAAATAAAAAAATGACAAAGCAGACAGGCAAACATAATTCATTGGTGCACTATATAATTTTAAGCTTCCACCCCCAAATAGCTATTTGAAATTCATTTTGTATCACAAGCACTTCTTCTGAATATTATTTAGGGCAAAATAGCCAACTTGATAAAGTGCCAACAAATTGCATCAGAAATGTAGAATGTTAACTAGAGAAAAGTGTCAAGAAAAAATATTATTATTACCATATCTACTTCAAAAAGTAAAACTTCTGCATGGGTTCGAAAGTTCAAAGCAACCATATTTGTTTTCAAACAACAGGTTTTAAACAGCAGAAATTAAAGTAACAAAACTACCTGGTCAGGATTCTTGCAGCTCAGAAGAAGATTTGAGGCCTTGATATCTCCGTGTACATACTCATGCTCGTGAATATATTCCAGAATATCCAGCTATGAAAGCATCAGAGAGAAAATTAATGCAGTACCCAACACCAACCAGCAGAGGACCGAGCTTCAACACAATAGCTTTACTGGGTTGAAAATAAGAAACATGTAGCTCACATACAATTCTTAAGCTTAGCTGCAAGACAGTTTTCCGAGAAAACCTTTTGGCATTTGCTTCGTATATTTTCTGAAGGTCACTCCCAAAGCGATCCATTACCATAAACCTGTAACTGAAGACAAACAGGAAGTGTCAATGAACAAAATATAATTCTGGAAAAGTGACTTTGCAATGAGTAGTCAGTCTCCTGTCAAGGTAGTTTTTCATGGCAATGTTTAGGAAGGAAGAAGGAGAAAAGGACAAACATTTGCAACAGTTTCTTATAACTAGACTTCTTAAGAGCTAGAATGCTTTCCTGTCCTTTTACCCTGAGGCCTCCTCTTGGTCTCATCTAGTTAGAGACCACACGCAATGTAAGATAACGCCCAGAGAGATCCAACAGATTCACTCATAGTAAAGGCAAAACAATCTAAGAAAGAATGTTATCATTGTTTTTTTTTTCCCTCACAGTTCAAGTTAATGTATGTTTCTGGATATTAGTTTCCTTCCTATGACTGCTTTTCTCTATTTAAGGCACATTTTAGCAGCAATACTATCATTCTGTTAAAATCAAGGCTGTCAAGAGATGCTTAACAATAGCTAAATTCAACAAAACTGCTAAAATGGTGCAAAAGGACTGTATATTAAATACTCAACAGACAAGATTTGGGGAAGAAGAAATATTCTGAAAAAATGTAAAGATTTTTGGTTTTGCCACAAACCAACTATGTCACCTTAATCAAATCACATTACTTCTTTGCACCCCAAATTGCACAGGGCCTCATGCTTTTGAAGGTCTTATCTAGCACTCAAACTCTAAGACTCAATAACCATGTTCTATTTTCAGTGTGTACTAAAAAGCATCACCATGTTGCAGTAATAACAGTTCATCTTTTGCTCTGAGGACCACTTTTGTCTTTATTAAGTTTTCCAGATTCTGACTTGTTTAATTTAAGTACTCAATAAATCAATGAAAACCAAGCCCATACTAAAAACGTATCAAGATATCTTCCAATGGGGATAAGGTGAATAGCCCTCATAATAACAACAGCTAGCATTTACTGAAGCCTTGGTAGGAGCACAGACCATTCTAAGCACTTCAGATGCATTAGTGCACCTACCTCACATCACTGGTATGAGGCAGGTGCTTCTACTAGCCCCATTTTACAGCAGAAGAAAACTGATGAAAATAATTTGTCCTCCAGTAAGTAAGTGGTGGAGCCACATTTTTGACCACTACACTAAATACAGGGAAATAAAAGTCAGCAGGACACAAACATCTCACGTACATGCTGTAGGCTTCTAAGATAAAAATATAGTAGGACAAGTTTAATAGGGAAGGAAGAGCTAACATTAAAAGGCAGCAAGCCACATAATAAATTCAGAATTCTACCCATTTTTGTACTGGAAAAGAATTAGAGATCATCTTGTGTGAACATCTTTAATAAATAACTAATGTCTATGGAGGCAAAGTGATTCACCCAAAGTCATACAATTAGCCAGTGGCAAATGTATTCAGTCATGTAAGAGTGCCCAGCACCTTGACCTCTAAGAATCAAAGAGAACAATAATTTCGACAGCCTGCTTTCCTTTTGTACAACAGGTTTTCAAAGATTGAGAGATGACCAAGAACACATATACATGTTTGTTTTTTAAAAATAAGTGATATGTGTATAATTATTATAAAATAATATATGGGTAACAAAACCCACCTCTGCTGACAGTCTGAAAGAAGGCTGAATCACAATAGCTTAATTCCTGGAAACAACAGTTTAATAAACAACACAAATAATGGGAAAATATAAATCAGTATAAATAATGTAAAAATGATATCAGATAACATTTTTTACCATCCTGATCCTGTTCCAAGTACTATATACATATTAATTCAAATCGGTTACAGGGAAAAGTAAAGATTTCTGGCAAAATAAATAAAAAAATTTCTGTATCTTTACTTTTAAGAACCAAAATGATTGTTTTCAAGAACCTCAACTAAAAAAAGTAAATCAACACCTTAGAAGTGATTAAGGCTCCATTGTAGGAGACACTTCCAGCACCCACATATCACAGAAGGAACAGGCGAAGAGGTAAGGCAAGCACTAGTAAATGGTGCATTAAGAAGTAAACCGGAGCTCAGCCAGTGTGGCTCAGTGGATTGAGCGTCGTCTCATGAACTGAGAAGTAAACCCAGAGTCCATCCAAGTGTCTCAGTGGTTGAGCCGTCGACCCATGCACTAAGAGATCCCCAGTTTGATTCCCGGTCAGGACACATGCCCAGGTTGTGGGCCTGATCCCCAGCAGGGGGCATGCAGAAGGCGGCCAATCGATGTTCTCTCTCATTGATGGTTCTATCTCGCTCTCCCTCTCACTTCCTCTCTAAAATCAATAAAGGAAAAAAAAAAGAAGTAAACCCAAGTGTCTGGTCTCAGACTCCCTGCACTTCACAGCATCCTCTTGTTCATGCAGGGGAGGTCTCTCCTGCAGCACCCTGTCAGTTACCTTAGTGTCAATCTTCGACCCCCACCACCTCCCCAGGCCCTGATCATTTCACAGGAGCCACACACACACAAACCCTGTTTAATTGTCTCTCTGCTTCCTCACACATAAGTGATAAGACTGTACAAGGTAAAATGGGCTATGACGGTGTGGACAACTTTAAGAAAACGCACCATTCCCAAATGGACGGAAGGAAGGAAGGGAGGGAGGGAAGGAGGGAGGGAGGGAGGGAGGGAGGGAGGGAGGGAGGGAGGGAGGAAGAGAGGGAAATGATGATGATGATGATTGCAACTAACATTTAGTGAGCACATACTATGTGCCAGAAAAATCCCCCTTATGAATTACATGTTTCAATTTCATCTTCACAATAACTCCATAAAGAAAGTACTATCACCCATCTTACAGGTGAGGAAACATGAGAAATGAAAAAGAAATGAAAAGTATCTAACCCTGAACCACACCTGATAAAGTGTAATCTAGTTCAATGATGTTTAGGTTTTATTGTGACATACAATTTTATTGTTTACAAAACAAAACAAAACAAAAATGGTAGTTAATACTAAAATTCTGGAAGGAGGGAAAAAAACCTTTTTATTCTATAATGCTCTGGCCCCAGCCACACTTCCCTTCCAATAATCTCTACAAAATGTAGTTTTTTATAATGTACTATTTCTTAGGAATACAATGCTGTAAACTAGAGTGCAATCACATGTACCTGCTTTCTAGAGAATCATCTATAAGGGTTTTGCTGACCACATCCCCTCTACAGAGGCTCCAATTCACCACGCACACCATGTAAAACAATTCCAAAAATGCCCTTTTCACCTCCTTGTTCAAGAGCTTCTGACTGTCTACTACACATAGGCGCCAAACGGCTCTTTCCTGTGTTCTTCATCTGCCTCAGTCTCTTTCTCCACGTTTACTTCCTTCTCTTCCACATGCCCTCTTCCTGGGTTAACGAAAGACGGCCACCGGGCCGCACAGCAGGCCAGAAGCCTATCCTGACCCTTGGTTCAGGTTACTCTCCTACTTGAGAGGCTATCCCTACTCTTCAGTGATTTTCTAAACCAGCAGTTCTTTTAATATTTAAGAGATAAAAAACCCCTTGGAGAGTAAGAGCTAACATATATTTTACATATATTCTAAGAATCTTACATTTAACCCCACCCCTTATTAAGTACATGGCTATTACTTTATTTCACAGATGAGAAAACTGAAGCAAGAAAGAGTAACTTACCCATTCACACACATTTTAAGGAGCCAAACAGAGATTTAAAACCAGGCAGTCTGACTCTAGAATCTTTGCTCTTAACTTACTTAATCAATCCTTGATCTATACCATTTCTCCAGAAAATTGCATAAAAATACAGACTCTTGTTCCAGCAAAATCATATGTAACAAAATGTTACCTAGCATTGCAGGGCCTCCCACATTCCCTAAGAGATGTGTGATTCCAGAATCAGACCTTGCAAGGAAACAACACAGGCCCCCACCCATCGACAACCTCTGCACTCCATCTTTTCTACCAGAGCACCAGTTTGGTTCAGGCATTCCATCCCTTCCACACAGCCAAGTGCTTCCCCACGCAAACCAGTGTGACCACCTTGCCCATGCCAGTGACTGGTTTAACTAGGCACACTGATGAGAATCTGACCAAGAAAACATGACAGGCAATCTGCCACAAGACTCCCAAGGAGGGTTTCCTGGCCAGGAAAGTGAAGCTCACAAGAAACGTTACCGTTTTCGGCTATGGGGTACTGTCTGTATATGAAGCCTAGAAATGCGGCAGCCACCCTGCAACCACACAACAGGGAGCAAAGCCAGGATGAGAAGGACAAACAGGCAAGAAAATGGAACCTTGATAATTCCTTAAAAGAGAAGAGTCAAAGTTTCCTTTATTTGCAGCTGAAAGCATTCAAAACCCTTCCAAACTAAATCTATTCCTCAAACGTGGCCTCCAGCCTTACTCCAGCCTTACTCCAGCCTTACTCCAGGAAGTGCCATGCGAATGTTTCAAGTACTCGTTATGCGTGAAGCTGCTGGAGGTCTCCTCCAGCTCCGCGATGCCTCTCCATTCCCTGACTCCTAAGTCCTAAGACCCCTAAGAGTCAGAACCACACAATTTAGCGCTTTACTGTTCTGTTTCATATTTGTTTCATGTTCGTTTTTTCTCACCAGCCAGTCTGAAATCTCATAAAAAGCAAGACTCTACAGTGGGCATAGTATGTATCTAACATGAAATACCAAATTAAAGGGATTCCCTTTTACATAAAAGACATGGAGTTTTTTGTTTGTTTGTTTGTTTTTAAAGACCAAAAAAATACAAGGCACATTTGGGTTTGTTCCTACTTGTCATCTGGGTTCCAGGGAGCTGTTACCACTCTGCACAAGCCTCCGGAAGAGAGGCGCCCCCTTCGGACAGGGCATGGCCATCTGTGGCTATGGAAAGCAGGGGGCCGCCATAACATCGTGCTGGCCTCTCGCACACACTCTGCACAGCCCAGAGGAAGGCCGAGCAGTACTGTAGGTGCTCAGAGTATCATTCTTCACCAAACCAACTGCACAGTGAATGCTCAAAAAATAGAAGAGAAAAACAAAACATGTATATTTTTACCTTTTTCCATTTTTATTATGTAGACCAGACCCCCAATATTTAGGAACACCCAAGTACTTCAGTTTATGGGTATGAATCCATTTCCGAACTAAAATTAAAACAGATGCTTGTGATTTCAATTGTTAGACACAAATAATCTTTTAAATTATTAACAGCAAAACGTACTTATACACGTAAGATTTCACTTTTATTTATTCATAAAAAAGGAAGTAAACAGTACTTTATGACCCACAAATAAAAAGCAATTCAAAACATTTTTAATAACCCACAATATTTTGTTTTCCTGCCCTAAACATTGTCTTAACAATAAAAAATCTGCAAAAAAAATTCTTAAACAATCAAACCACAGTACTGTGATTGCAATTAATATCCCTAATTATGTAATGTTTACTTGCTTCCACAGAAAGGCTTTTCTCACCCCAATCTAAACGTTTTATAGCTCACTCTAAAACTCCTCAACAGGAAGTACAGCTCTGGGAGCCACGGAGGCCTCTGGAGCTTGTCAAGTCTGTACCACCTACCAGGAGACCCCCTGGCTTCCTGGGACAGGAGAGGGGAGGGTCCAGAGTAGCTAGAAGAAGCCCTTTTCTTTACCCTGATAGTGTCTGGTTCTGCTTCATCAATTATGACACCACAAACCCCACCACTGGTTATGTTCTCAGAGTTCAAAAAAACAGCCAAAAAGATTTGAAGGTCCTTGAGCTATACTTATGGATTAGGGTTATTTTTCAATTTTTAACATTTCCTAAATTATAAATAATTACTAACTTTATTCTATATATCAACACAGATAAAATCTTACAACATTAAGATATCAGAATTCTTTCAAACAAATCTCATTTAAATAGAGCATATTTATAAAGTAAAAAAAATAAAGAATCATAATGTAAGATGCAATGCTCTTATCTTGGCTTAAATAAAAACAAGCGATGGTCGTGTTAAAAGTGTAAACATGTGTACTGTATTTCTTACTTTGCTCTGGTTTGGCAGCTCGCTGGTAGAACTTTAATTCAGTAAAAAGAGGTCCGTTGTCACTGGGTTCCTTGAAACACAGGCATTAGTTAGTAATAGCAGTCGGTAAAATCACTGAGTTATTTTCAGCGAATCTTCAAAAAATACTAACAAATCAATTTTTCGTATCAAACAATGTAGTTTTGACACTTAACATAGTTATAACTATGTTTAAGTCAAACTCTTTAGAAATGTTTCAAGTATTCTCAGAACAGTCTTTAAGTATTATATTTCTCTCCAATTCTAATTCTATAAGTGATAAATTATAAAAATTAGACATATGGCTCAGTCTTTGCAAAAGTTTAAGGAAAAATTTTTAAACTTATTTTTATCTTAATTGAGCTTTCCTTTAAGAAAAGATAAGCAACCATGTTAACTCTTTTCACCAGGCTGCAAGATATTTCTGAGACGTAATAAAATGTCAACACTTGATTTAACCAATTAGTGACAAAATCCCATTCCTTTCATGTTTCTCATGGCAGTCATATAGTTTATCGGACTGGCAGAGCCCATCTTACCATGAAGAATATGCTGAAACCACAGAGCAAGCACACACTGGCCACTAACTGCAGCTTCTCCTTTCTGACACTCATTCACATGTGATAACATAAAATCAAGAGGAGCCCTAGCCAGGTGGCTCAGTCAATTGGAGCGTCACCCCATACACCAAAAAGTTGTGAGTTCGATTCCCAGTCGGGGCACATACCTAGGCTGTGGGTTTGATCCCCCTTGGCGGTGGGTTTAGGAAACAAATGACTGATGTTTCTCTCTCACACCAATGTTTCTCTCTCTGCCCCCACTTTCTCTCTGTCCAAAATCAATAAAAACATATACTTGAAGGAAGATTTAAAAAAAAAAATTGAGCCCTGGCCGGTTTGGCTCAGCGGTTAGAGCGTCGGCCTGCGGTCCTGAGAGACCAGGGTTCGGTTCCCGCTAAGGGCGCGTACCTCAGTTGCAGTTTGTCCCCGGCCCTGGTTGGTCGTGCGGGTGGCAGCCACTCGATGTGTTCCTTTCACATCGATGTTTCTCTCTCTCTCTCTCTGTTCCTCTCTCTCCCCCCCACTCTACCTGAACAAAAAATGGAAAAATGTCCTCGGGTGAGGATAAAAAAAAAAAAAAATTGAAAGAAAAAATAAATAAATAAAATCAAGAGGAAAATGGGGTTAACAATTGTTTCCCACCAATTTTACTGGACTATATTTATTTCACATTTTTTTAAATATTATTTTTATTAATTAATTTTTGTTACAGATGTTTCTCCTTCCCCCCTCACTGATTCCCCCCTCCCCCTCCCTCCCTGCCCTTTCCCCAGATTGTTGTCCATGTCCACTGTTCATGCATACATGCGTATAAGTTCTGTGGTTTATCTCTCCCCCACCACCCCCCTCTTTAGGGGATTGTCAGTCTGTACCCCGCTTCCGCGTCTCTGGGACTCTACCCCATTCCTCAGACTGTTATGTTCATTATATTCCACAAATAAGTGAGATCATATGTAACTTGTCTTTCTCTGTTTGGCTTGTTTCACTTAGGATGATACTTTCAAGGTCCCTCCATGTAGTCTCAAAGGATAAGAGATCTTTCTTTCTTACAGCTGCATAGTACTCCATTGTGTATATGTACCACTGCTTTTTGATCCATTCGTCTACTGATGGACACTTGGGCTGTTTCCAGATCTTAGCGATTGTAAATAGTGCTGCTACAAACATGGGGGTACATATATTCTTTCTGATTGGTGTTTTATGCTTCTTAGGGTATATTCCTAGAAGTGGGATCACTGGGTCAAATGGAAGATCAATTTTTAATTTTTTTGAGGTAACACCATATTTCACATTTTAAGGGACATTAACAATTAAAATTATTTGTAAAGAGGCATGTACTCAAAAATCGGTATTTGATAAGCAAGAAATAGCAGCCTGTCGAAAGTTTTGCACCATTAAATAAATATAGAAGAGTCATCTTATAATTCTGTGGACTTTAAAAATAGAACATTTTGTCTGATTTAAATTGGTTAGGCTTGCCCTGGCCGGTTTTGCTCAGTGGTTAGAGCATCATCAGCCCAAGGACCAAAGAGTCTCAGGTTTGATTCCCATTTAAGGGCACAACCTGGGTCAAAGGTTCAATCCCTAGCCCATGTCGAGGTCGAGCAGGAGGCAATCAATCAACATGTCTCTCTCACATAGATCTTTCTTTCTCTCTCTCTCTCTCTCTCCCCCCCCCCCCCTCCCTCCCACTCTATCTAAGAATCAATGGAAAAATATCCTCAGGTGAGGATTAACGAGGAAAAAAAAATTGGTTAGTATTTATTTAGTGTTTGATATTCTGTATTGGTCTTATCCTGTTTATTGAGAATCTGAGACAATTTTTGAAAAGCAGTGAAAACTTCAACTGAGGAAGCTAACATTTCTAAACGATTTTTAGAATTGCTTTTCTTTTAGGAAGTATGGAGAAAAGTTATTTTGGACAGAATATCTATGTAGCTCGAGTTCAAGGGTCAGTAGAACAGAGGTAATAAATGAGGCCATTACCTTACCTGAGAGAATATTTGTGAAAATACACAGTTTTTGGCGATGCATTTTGCAAATACTTAAAATATGTTCTTTCTGTTTTTCACTCAAGATACTCTCACTGTCATAGGCATTAATTTTGCTCCTTGAGGTTTAAATCAAACCACTCTAGTATATGCACAGTTCTAATAACTCATCTTTCTTGTACTTCAGGAAAATCAGAATCCAAGTTATAGTACTTACAGAAAACTACTAGTTATAGTACTTACAGAAAACTACTAGTTATAGTACTTACAGAAAACTACTAGGCCAATCTGCAGAGTCAGGCAAGGCCTAGTTAACACTGAGCATTCAACAGCAAAGAGGCAAAATAGACGACACCTGGATCAGAACCGAACTAAGCTTGCCTCATGTGTTATGGGTCAGTATACTGTTTCAGTCCACCCTTGGAAGAAAATGAATGGTATACAAGGGCTTGACATATCATCTAACCAATATACTAACGTGTGAGTGCTAACTCCCTGATTTTCAGACGCAGCACCTCAAGGGTCACCGGGACGTGCGGCTCATTTCCTAGCAGTAATGGTAGCTGGACAGACGTGTGCCTGTTCAGAGTTCATGGCTGAGAACAGGCCTTCAGCAGGAATAAGAGGCTCAGTGTAGGAAATGAAGAAAGAAATGGAAATTCAAAAGGAGGAATTTTGGTAAAGTTACTTTCCAAAGGCTAATTTTTAGAATAGCTCATTAATATAACTCATGTTTGAAAGGAGTTTTCCTAAGATAAATCCCAGCTTGTTACACATCAGTATAAAATTCTGATTTATTCAATTTCAACCTATCTCATATCAACTTTAATTTAAGGTGTTCCTTCAAGCAGTAATTTATTAAACTGATAATAACAAGAATCAACCTATATAAATCAGGCTATCATAATGAAAGCCTCACCACAATGAAAGCTCTCTGAGCTCATTTCATACTTTTCTTTTGCTTTTGAATCCTCACCCGAGGATATTTTTCTCTTTATCTTCAGATAGAGTGAAAGAGAGGGAGAGAGAAGGAGAGAAACATCGACATGAGACACATCGACTGGCAGTCTCCTGCACGACCCCCACCAGGGCCGGGGACCGACAGCAACCGAGATACATGCCCTTGACCACAATCGAACCCAAGACTCTTTGGTCTGGGACCAACGCTCTAACAGCTGAGCCAAACTGGCCAGGGCTCATTTCATACTTTTCTAATCCAGTAGATTCCATTATAAAAAATAAAGGAGCTACTTCCTGGGCATTGCACTCAAGCCAAAGCTAGCTATTTCTGTTGAAGAAACTACCTTAACTCATAACTAAAATTTTATTAACATATTTCAAATCTAAAATACTTTGCCAACTCTATAATAGCCAAGATTTACGAAAAAAAAAATCGGAACTGACATTTTAACTAGCATATCACTAAACGTTTCTTTAAGACTTTTAAGTGTCAAAATGAAGATGACAACAGAAAAAAATTAAAATGTGATATATTTTAGTGGCACCATCTAAAAGCAACTGGCTGCCATTTAAAAATGAAGCTGCAGAAAGTTTCTCCTTCCTACCAAAAAATTGTGATATATTAATTGAAAATTCGGGTCACTTCTCATATCAGTGAGGGAACTTAAACATCAGTCTGCAAACTTTTTTTCACAGAACTTGGAAATGCCGGTTTGTATCAGTTCATACTGGAAAGTGATCATGATAAAAAGAACTGTTTGTTGGACCAAAGATCCAAAGGCCTGACCTTTACCTCCAGTTCTCTATTAGCTCACTGACATGACTGCAAAGGAGGAGTGTAATGGAAAGAATTATTATAAAGTCTGTTAAAAAGAAATCACAAAAGATCATTTTTTCTCCATGCATTATGCAACTTATTATCAATTTACCATTTCTCTCAGCACATTTACTTTCCTGAAATAAAAAGGAGACAGTGTCTCTCAGTTATCTTGAATCAGAGATACAAGTTTACCATCTCTGGTGACCCAGCACGATGACTCCAAGCCTGCTCCCATAAATCAATAAGGATTAAGACCCTAAACAAAACCAAACACACTCATTTGGTAGGAGAGAAAATATATTTAGCATTTACCTAAACATCTATCTTGAACATGTATGTCTTAACTCCATTTCAAAGCCAACTGTAAAAATGTGGGGTTAACTATCTGGAGCTCTTTCATACGCAGCTACACCCACATTAGCAGAAACCACAGTTCTGGAGGAGTCTCCCATGTGAAGGCGGGAACCCTACAGAAGCACAGGAGCCTGCATGCCCTACTCGATAGAAGGGTCCCCACCCAGCCAGACTCATTCAGTTGGTCGAGCACTGTCCTGTGCACTGAAAGGCTGTCAGTTCAATTCCTGGTCAGGGCACATGCCTGGGTTGCAGGTTCGATCACAAATTACTGGGGCACGTATGGAAGGACACATCCCTCACATCGATGTTTCTCCCTCTCTGTCTCTCTCAACCTCTCTCTCTCATTCTCCCTTCCTCTCTCTAA